TTGCAGAGCACATTCATGTTATTAGCAAACAGATGTGTTCTTTCATTTCTAATAAATGAGGGCATGTTGTTTATGTAAAAAAGAAAGAAGATAGGGCCTAAGATTGATCCCAGTGGACCCCATGCTTAATTGGCAAAGAATTGGAAAAATAAATAAATAATGTTCTTTCGTGCCAGCGGGGTATTTCTATTCTTTGCAATGGATGTTTAAGGAACCACAATATTCAATCTAGGTAATACCACAAATTCCATGTGAAGGCATTTTTGAAAGCCAAATGGTATGGTGAATGATATCAACTGCTTCCAAAAGATCTAAAAATGTTATAATAGGATTTGATTTTTTGATCTATTGATGAAGAAACATCTTTAATAACACACAAAACTACACCACCACACATGTCAGGTGCTTAGAACTTGTCCAGGCAGGTGCAGCAGCTTGCTGGGGTGAGATATCTGGAGATGGAAATGCCTCGCAAGTTGACGTTTGGGTCGGCACCACATCTCACAATCCTGTGGGGGAGGAACTCTGCCACCTCCTAGGATAAAACTACACTAACAGGGATCACTAAGCAGTAGATGTGCCCAGAAACATTAATCAATCACATCAGCTTCTCTTCAGCAATGGTAAGATTCAGCACGGTTCCAACTGATAGTCTGAATCATCAAATACCTACAAAAATGGGATACGGGTTTTGCCAACAATGTACATTGTTTTGTTCAAAAACATGAGGTTCCACCACTGTCAACCCATGATGGTCCACATCTAAATGGTTAAATCATTGCAAATGTTACATTACTCTTTATGTTAGATCTAAACGAGATTATACATTTGTGATATGGTAACCATACAGTATGGGGATGATGAAGTGTCTTGAGGCCTGCCAAAGACTACTCACAAAGTATCTTGAGTTTAAGAATGTTCGAAACCATCTATCATGTAAAATTGACAATGCTTACCTGTGTTCTAAACTTAATATTCACAGTCTTGACAGGAGGAGACATTGATTCATATCATATTCCTTATAAAATTAATTAGAGGCATTATCCAATCTCCACAATTCTTGTCTCAGGTAGAATTCTCGATTCCTGAATATGATAGCCATTCACACAGATTGCTTTATAAGGAAACAAGTAATAATCGATTACTGTATAATGTGAGAAAACATAAAATGATGAAATTAACTTATCACGAGTCTGATTCAGACACTTTCACTCATTCGATTTTAATGTTAACTGTTAATATTAATACATAACCCCCAAACACACTGTAATTATTTATTTTTCTATCTACATGCCATGCTGTAATTAAATGTAATTGATAAATAATCCTGTAATTGTCTTATCCGGCTGGAATTGTATAAAAAGGAATTGTATATTTCTGCAGATTCCAGCAGAGTGTGGTGGCCACTGTCATGACTAGGGGGAAAATTTCAATGAACTGTAATTTTTTTTTTCACTTTAGAACAATGATGTTTAGTATAGAAATTCATTTTATGTTAAGACAAAACAAAATGACTCATTTGTATAAGTCTTTTTTTGGCATTTTTTGTCAATTTCTACAAATAAGTCATTTTTTACCTTTTTACGTCATTTTTAAAGCATTTTTTGCTGATACCATCAATTATAATATCATTTTAATGGTATTTGATTCAAACAATACTTACGGGTTCACCACAGAATTCCTGAAAAGCATATTAGATTTCTTTGCTCATATATTATAATGTCATCCGTTGTGAGTACAATGTAATCTAAGGTTCCAGTGACACCTCTCAGCACCATTCTCAGTTTGGCCAATTTCGTGATAAATAAAGGCAGAGATTTTCTTTTAAAGAACAGTCCAAACCAAAAGTTTGCAAACTTGAACAAAAGAAAGAAGCCTTGATTACATCAGTAACATACTCATCACCTTGAGGTGTTCATCTGAAGTGGTTTGGATCAATTTTTTTTACGTCATTTTTCTTTCCTTTTAGGGCATTTTTAAAGTGTTATAAGAACATTTTATTGATCATTTATGGTGATGTTTTAGATCATCAAAAGCTGCCTCCTAGTCTTGACATTCTTTGTAATCCCACAGAAAAATGCTTGCTACATGCACTGATTAAGTGAATGTTTTCACTTAGTAGTTTACAGTCTACTGTGATCTTTGGCTAGAAAGGCATTAGTACTTGGTTTCCTTGGGCAGGTAGAACCTAGACTTTGTCCTTCTTAATCTGTTAACCAGGGAATTTCCCTAGTCTAAAAGTAGCTTCAGACCAGACAAATAATTTGTTAAAAAATGTACTTAAACCAATAAGATAATGTGAGGAGAAAACATTAATCCTGCTCAAATGAGTAATGTGGTAAGGACTTATCTCTTTCTGTTGTATACAATAATATATAATGTGATGATGATTAATCACTGCATGCCCACTATTGCTCAAAGCAGCTAAGTTTTCAATGCAAGACGATGAGCAACCTGAAGACTCAAATCAAAAAAAATTCTCATGACGAGTTACTTTGTCACATCCTGTTAGGAGGTAAAGTGAGCCATCTCTCAGCCAGATACGAGTAAACCTTCTCTGAGATACTCGGGAACTACAGATGGTAGAGAGGCTTTCCATGCCAACTTGTTGAGAGTTCCTTTTATTGTCTATCTATTTGTTAGGCATGTGCTGCTGAAGGTAAGGACTCTCATCTTCCATACTACATTGAGCCATTTCTCCCCAGTATCACTCTTGTATTCTGTAAGTGCTTGCTTCTTTACTTGGCCCTTTATTTATAATGGAATATAAAAGGTCCCTGGCTTCCAGATTTACAGGAAAGTCATTGTGTGATAATGTTACTGTACTGCTTGAGAACACAATGAGCTGTTATTTATATTCTTGTTTGATAATCCAAGTCCTTTTTTGTGTCCAGTCTATTATGGCAGAATGACAATTACTGCCCAGATGTTGATAACTTGGATGAGATTTCCACAACTGAACTTGGTTCTGAGAAGCGTTCAGACTTGTTGTTCATACTCCTAAAAGGCATTGGTCTTACGTTGATGGGAGTTATAGACTGCCTGCAGGTCAAGGTACTTAGAGACCTCATTATTATCATTATCATTATAACCATAATCATTATTATAATAACTATTATTATAATTATTATCATTATAATCATCGTTAACATTATAATCAATGTTATTATAATCAGCATTATCATTATAATCGTTATCGTCATCATTGTAATAATCACTATTGTCATTTTAATAATCACTATTATCGTCATTATAATAATCACTGCCATCATTATAATAATCATAATCACCAAAATCATCGTCATAATACAGCCAGTAAGGTGTGTATTTTTCAACTCAAGAAGCTCTATAAAGAGTGTTTAATACTGATTTATTGGCGATTTCTTCCATAAGTATGTTTTATATTCAAATGGGTGTCATAATATGGGCAAAATTGAATAAAATGGTTTATAACAGGATTTTTTGGGTCCCAATCGATCCTGGCTTAGACAGATTTTACTGTATTTTTATTAATTACAAATAACAATTGTTGTTCTTATTATTATTAATTATATTTAACAATTGTTGTTGTATTATTATTGTAATTATTATTATTGCAAATACAGGCATATTAAAAACAACTTTAAAGTCCAAAAATGCAAAATACTAAAACATACATAAGTAGAAAATCTCAATATATTGTACCAAAAACCTTTTAACAATAATGGAGAGAAAAAAAATTAAAATATTAGGTCCAAAATTATACAACAAACTTCAACTTACTGTATGCTGTAATATCCTTATTAAGGGCATTAAACATGATCTTAAAAATTAATAATCATAACCACTTAAGTGTGTATGCATATAGAAGTAACTTTTAGAATACTTATAGTTAAAATGTATTATGTGTAAAATGTTTCGCATTTATATATATATATATAATATATATATTATATATTATATATATATATATATTAATATATATATATATATCTATATATATATTACTATATATATAATTTATATATATATATATATATATATATACTATATATATATATACTATATATATATATATATATATATATATATATATATATATATATATAGTATATATACTATATAAATTATAAAAATATACTATGATATATATATATAATATATATACTGCGTGGAGAATATTACACAATATTTAATTATCTAGAGGATACATCTATTGTAGTAATTAATACATACAAAATATTAGAATTATTGTGGCATTAAGGATTTCTTTTAGTATTGGCGAAATGCGTGTCAGGCGCTGTTTAACGATTCGCTTAAAAAATGTTCTACAAGTGAATAAGGCAAAACAGAGTGGGTATATACGTGTTACAATAACGCTCTGTCTTTGTATTCTTAAACTTCATTAAAAAAGGAGGCGAAGGAAGGAGGAGCGAGGGAAGGAGAGAGAAGGAGGGGGAAGAAGGAAGAAGGAAGGAGGAAGAAGAAGGAAGGAGGGGAAGAAAGGAAGGAAGGAAGGAAGGAAGGAAGGAAGGAAGGAAGGAAGGAAGGAAAGAAAAGATAAAAGGTTTTATATTTCCCATCTACAAAATAAGTCTGAGAAAAAACAATTTTCTTCTGTTTGGCTGTTACAGTGTCAGAACAAATATTATTCATAAATAAGTTATAACTGTTATGAAGGTGCAATTCATTGTAATTCAAAGAATAATGTAATGCAATTCATAGTAACACTGTATTTTTTTTATGTAATACTGTTTATAACGAGAACTTAACGAGGGCTTATTGAGACCCCAAACCTCATGGAAACAAACTAAATAAGTAAATAAAAGTATTATAGTTGTTGTTGTTATTATTATTATTATTATTATTATTATTATTATTATTATTAACAGTTCTTAATATTAAATTAAAAAACCCATCTTAAAATTTAATGGGATGATAAAAGTGCAGCATGGCCTACAAACTATTAATTTTTTTCTTGGTCTCTTTTTTTCCAATAAACCAGAAAAAAATATTCTCACCTTGCTGATTTGTTTCTAGAAGATTGTGATGGTTGAGCATTGATCTTCAAAACTCGTGAATCTTGATCACGTCCTCCACTATTTCCTTTCTGTCCAGTCAAAAATGCAGGAACACCTAGTAAACACATTAAAGTAACAATGAAATCCTTTTTATGTTTTTATCTTGCAGAACTCAACATGCATTTAATCATCATATTACATGTGATGTACTTGTGTACATGTGATGTACTGTACACAACTGGTGAGGTAATTTTCTTATCATGTATCTGGGGATGTGGGGACTACACAAATCCCTACCCAAAAACTTGCTTAGAAGTGTTGAAATAACAAAAATGTCTGCTTTAGTGATATGAACAAGAAATGTTATGCATTATCAATAGGATTTTTACAAAAATTATTAAACAAGAAATAGTTACTTATCAAATTAAAAAATATTGTAATGTCAATATTAATCGCTAAAAGGCACTCTTCTAACTATATTTTGTCCCACTACACAGAGTAATTTAAAACTGTCTTTTGAGGACCACAATCTGATCAAGGAGAACCAATTACTTATGACTAATACAACACAATTTCAATTTTACGTAATTTTCCTCAGTCCCTCATTCACCGCAATTTCAGCAAATAGGCTCTCCCCCTCCTCACCAGTGAATTTGCTCTCTTTCACTTCTAAATTGACATTGACCCATTTCTCAAATCCTGGGTCATCTCCCTCGAAATAATATCCCTCGAAGCATTCAGTTTTGTGAAATTTAAAAAAAAGGAATACATAATTTTATCAGTGAGGTGAGGATTAATTATATCCCAGACGCTAGAAAATATTAAGTAAGTTTTTGTTCTCTTTCAACAATGTAAATTTACTCTAAAATTATCTGCTCCTATTTAACTCAAAATCAGATCAATATGAAACACACCAAATAAATGCTGATAGATAATTAAATTAAATATATCTGCAATAAGTAGTTTCTGTAGTCAAGTACAGTTTCAGACTAGTGGATTGGACTAAGCAAGAAGTTCAAGAAAACAGAAAACTGCTTACAATGCATCATGTTGTCCACCCTCAAGCTGCTGTTCATAGGCTTTGTGTGTCATGTAAGGAAGGAGGAAGAAGCCTCCAGCACAATGCAATAGTAGCGAGACTTAGGCCATGAGGCCTGCTCTTCCCTCTGACCATGCAAATTTCACTATGCTCCTTTCACCAACTAGAGGAGAAAGGAGGTATTTCTTGGGCGATGAAACAGGTGATTTGAATTTAGCTCAGAGGCTTTATTTAAGATTGAGGATCTTTTACATGCAGTAAATCCACTAACATGGACAGCCGGCTTTACTTCTCCTCCAAAGAATCTTTTGGCCTAAAAATCGATGGCTTCCATCGCGTTTGAACCCATGAATTTGGGTACAACAGTCTGATACACTAACCGTTACACCATCACTGCCAAAAGTATGTAGTCAGTCATGAAATCAGGCCAAAGAGCAGGAAACAGGCATTGTAAGTGCAACGAGAAGAAGACTATACAAGAAACGCAGCATAACACTGATGATTAATGCTATGGTTTTCAGATGCTACTTGAAATTAGAGACAAAAAATGTTAAAGAAATTGTGGAGAGACCAACCATTCAATGGACAATATACATATCAATAAAGATCAATCATTTACGTATATTAAAAGGGGAGAAATGAAGCCAGAAGCAGAAACAATTGTAATTGCTGCCCAAGATCAGGCATTCAGAACATAGCATTATGATAAAGCAGCTCTCAAAGTTGAGAAAGTTGAGAGAAAGAAATAAGAAAAACGAAGAAAGAAAGAAAAAGACAGGGAGAAAGAAATGAGAGAGCGCGCGCGAGAGAGAGCACTTTCCTTTTAGAGAGTACGAATACTGCCATAAATGTCTTGAAAACAGCGCCTACAATTACACCACACACTTCTGATACATGTGTAGGTCACAGACATAAAAAGTATGGGGAAAAAATCTTGCATGTCTTCATGGCGTCCATTGTAATGCAGGAAATAACTATATACACTGAGCACTTGAAACAGCACAAATAAATAGAAACTGAGCAAAACTGTAACTTTAAATAATATAAGAGACACCATCAATGAAGATACGAAAAAAAATAATTTTTAAACAGTTAAACTTCAGAAAAAGTTAGGCGTAATCCAAACAGTCTGACAAAGAATAAAAACATGTAAATTCCCTTTGTTTGGTTAATTTGTGTTCTACTGTATGCTTAAGTACCAATATTTAATTATTACTACATAGACAAATTGATAAAGTTATGGAAGACATAGGGCTGACAGGTGACCGGTATTCAATCCACCTGCTCTTTGTACTCTAGATTCACTATTCTAATTTAGAAAGTGACGTAAATAAAATCTTGTTCTGGCACTAATACTTATGAAGAAAAGACTGAAGGTCTGGTTTGAACTTCAACCAAGATGATTCTACAAATATTTAACAATCAGTATTTCACAGAAGTGTTAATAAATATCAAAAAAATTTGTAGGTAAGTGTTGTCAAGTTGGTAAATGACTCCATACAAAATTTAATTTAATTTTAAGTTAACTTTAATTAAATATTATCTAATTTTCTTGAGAACTTATTTTCAGACTTTGTATCTACCCAATTTTCTGAGATACTCTTTCTTTTCAACCTTTTTTCTTTCCTTTTTTTTATTATAATGCCTATTAGGTCAATGAAAATTAAATAATCATGTATTATTTTATATCTATACTATATATCAAAACAAAAAAAATCAATGTATCAGTTGTAAAAATATTACACTGAAATACTACATCATTATCAAACCATTGTGTTAAAATTTCTATTTCTGAAGTTATACATTATATTTTTGATGATAATTAAAATAATAATAATAATAATAATATTAACAATAACAATTCGTAACACAATGGGGCACAAGGCTTCAATGATGAGTCAAAATAGTTAATAAATCCCTCTTTATAAAATTTTGTATTTAATACAATACAGAAATTATAGGCAATAGAAAATATAATACAATACAAATTGATTTTATAGGGGGTAGAGCAAAACACACTTTAGGGACGTGAGGGAGAAAACATAGACCACAATAAACAAAGGAATTAGAAGTTTACATTGAAGTACATGGATGGATGTTTATAATGTAGCTGTACTTCTGATCTGTAAACTGTATGGTTCCAAAAGAAAGCTTTCATTTTATTTTTACAAGGGTGTATTGAATTAAGGATTACAAATTCATTCCAGAATTTGTTATTATGTGTAATGCCTTCCACAAGGGAGGTTTTTGGAAGAGAACCATTTCAGTACAAGGGACATGTAGATTCCTTTGTCTCACAATTACAATTTCGAATTTTCGTTACTATATCCTAAACACAAAAAAATTAATATTACTGACTTCGAATATTTAAAGGAGTAATATTACTTGCTGAAGAAAATAAGTTTTGAAAACTATATTGCTTTTAGGTTACTTATATCACGTACGTTCATAATTCCAAAATTATGGTAATCTAGGTGGGTCCAAAATTATAAAATATGAACACATAATTTAATTAAATTTTCATGTATGATGGGGTCTGTTTCAAATCCAGCAATCTCCACTATTTAACAAAATTGAATTCTTACTAGGACAATCTTTGCATTGAAACTTACCCGTATAATATTATTTCAGGTTTCTTAAAATTTCATCATGTAATTTTTGTGTAATAAAAATCAAAGTCAATATCAAAGCCAGTAATTTTCAAAAATAAGGAGCTTCAAAGTTTGTAATTTTCAAAAACACCAACAAAATTGATGCCTCCCAGCATAAAGTTGCATTGTCACAATATAATAATTTGCCAATATAAACATTATAAATCCTGATATTGAATGTAGTACTCTGAATTCATAAAATGAGCACATTCAACATTGTTTCATAGAAAAACTCAAAACGTTTACTTTTTACTTAACAGTCAGCCAACTTCGTAATCTAATAGGCTGACATTCGTCCAGACTGAACATGTTCATCCAGACAATAGTTGAAACAAATAATAAATCACCACACATCAAGATACATTTATTCAATTAGTTTTGGCTACCAAAGCCAAATAATGAAAATTGGAGATGCGAGAATTTTGAATTAACCCCATCCTTGTAGAAGAATTCACAATCATCTCAACAAATAAGATTGGTATTTTTTATACTTTAATAATATTAATCACTGGGACGGGGTTTCCTTACAGAATCATAGATAATTAGTGCACAATGCTTTATAGCTTCCTGATGTTCAGAAAATTTATTCATAACCAATGTTTCATGGTCAGATAGAATGAAATCTTCAAATACTATGTTCTGAAGAAAAAGAAACGACAAGTTTATGGAAAAATAAACATGTAAATATTAAGAAAATTGAAGTTGAAAAACTTCCGTCGATTGGTCGTCATTGCGACAAGCATGTCTTTTAACTGTGTGTCGATTTTACACAAGTGCACATGTTCATTATTTAAATGTTAAAGAAAATGTATTTTAAATGTGTATTTTACCATAAACTCATGTTTTTATCCTCTCAGAACATTGTACCAGAAAATGTGGCCCTAACCACGAAACATAATAAATAAATATATTTTCTGTACATTAGGCCACTATAAAGCATTGCACATTTTCCACTCCATCATGAAAGCATATCATGAATTGATATTGAATGATATTTTAAAATAATATTGTATTTTGTGGTTACAATTAGTGTATGTTCAAATCAATATTAAGTGTTGTTTTGGTTTGCATTTTGTGGCCATGATGATGAAATTATATAATTCAAAGCATCAGCACATTTGGATTCTTTTATTTTTAGCATTTAATGACTAAATCTCATCATCCTGAAAATTCTCTCCCTCAACGGGGTTTCGATGACCTTCATCAAATGATTATTTAAATAAACAGTGATTTAAACTATTTTATACTAATTGTTAAAATAAATATCCATTTTGTTATGTTAATATCATAGAAGTAAGAGTTATAGAATATATTCAGAAGCAGGAGTAAATAATACAGATGTGTAGCTAGAAATTTTATTCAGAATGATTACAATTTCAAAAACCCATGTCATAAGATCAATACAATGAAAAAAACTTCTAGGGATTATACATAGGATTCAAACATTTGTACAAAAACACATATTTTGCAGCCATTTCAGTTCTCAAAGGAGGCATTTCTTGAGATGAATCATTCCTACATGGGAAAGGAGCAGTTTATCATACCTCACAGCCCGCATTAAGCTGTTGCCAGCTAGTAAGCATATTAGTGGAATGATTAAGAAATGCTCTCAGTTCTTTTATACTGCTGACCTAAACCAAAATTCTTTTCTTGCACACCTCATACACATTTGTAATGGATTCTAAGTTTATTGTGTCTTTCGTTAGTACAGTTTTTGAAATCTTTCTCAGGACTCCAGATATGTAAATTGCAGTTTTCATTACAGAAAAAGAAATTAACAATAAGATATTTACAGTTGAAAATGAGAAGACGTTGTCCAGAGTCAAATTAAATTTATTTACATATATTTAATACAAAATTACAACTTAAGATAATATAAAGATTAGGTTTCAGGATAAGTCATTTAATGTATAAACTTCACAGGGTTGAATATTATTTCACCCAACCATTACTGATTATGCTTAAAAGCAAGTATGAACGAGAAATTCAAGCCATGCAATACAAGTTTTAAAAATTACTGTACAAATGTTTTCTTGAACCATGCACTGTAAAATAAAAATCTGGTGAACTATAATTCACAGAAACAATTATAACTAACCGCAACTTCAAACATATGACGTTAGAGATTTAAGTTTGAAATATTGAATTTTTTTGTTAAAACAAAAATTATTTATATTGTTTCATTTAAAAAAACATGACTTTTAGAAACTTTACAATATTATTATTCTATTTATCTGAATTACAGAGGTACGTATTCAACTTACTTTGTCCCCCCCCCCCCCAAAAAGGAGGGGGGGAACAAATTAAGGAAATTTTCCTATTACTTGTGATACTCTACCCACTATACGTTTTTAACAGT